CATTTTAATTAATATTTAATTAAAAACAGACGAGCTTTGGTTTCCTTATTTATTATCCGGTGATGCACTAATGATAGTGATATAATAGTTTGTACTTATTATACGCACAAAAACCAATACAGGGAAAACAGAGTAAAGGATGTGCGTACATAATTAGAGGCAATCAAATCTACGTCCCTCATGTGCCCAGCTGCCTTAGTACATATCCATATGATTGATATGGAGGATAAAACTACATAGGGTACGACATCATTTTTCCGCTTCGGTTTTGGTTCTAGTTCTTATTCGATAACAAATCTGAATTATTTTAACAAATCGGGGACAATGAGGACGTTTTCGGTAAATGTTTCATTTCGGTAGAAATACAGAAAAATCGGTAGGTTCGACAACACTGATAACAGCTGATTGTCTAGTAATACCACAGCCGAAGTCAACTACGAGCCGTGAACAAAGAAATCTGGCAACGTAGGTGGTAGTGTTACTCCCGCCGCTGCTTGCTGCATCGACGGAACTCGTGCTCAAAACGCTGAGAAAACATAACCTTTTCAATTTGTGATTTGGGAATCCCAGAGGCTGTAATTAAGAGATAAGCTTGTTTTCTAAGCTTCAAAGTGTGTGTATGTGTTCAAAGTGATCGGTGACTATAATATATGAGAAATAGACTCCAGTTGTAGTGCTTCTGTGCTTTAAAAATAAACTAAGAAGTGTGACTGTGGCTGTTCGCGCCTCAGGACGCTAAGGATTTCAACTATTGAAAACGTGCAAATTCAGGTTGTATATTTCTTTTTTCATTTATCAAGTATTTGACGCAGACAATATGCCTCGTTGTTGCTGTGTTCCTTTATGCAATGCAAACTATAATTCTGCTTTGAAAACAGAAAGCTATGTTTCAACTTTTCGCTTCCCAAGTACCGAAAGTCTGAAAAATAAATGGCTTATGGCAATTCCCAGAAAAAATTGGACACCAAAATATTCAGCTGTGTGCAGTCGTCATTTTAGAGAATCGGATATCATCAGGACAGAAAATATAGTTTTGGCGGATGGAACAGTCCAAATAATATACCTTTGAAATATCCAAAATTGAAAGAAAATGCGGTTCCCTCCATTTTCCCAAACTTGCCATCATATCTTTCAAAAACTGAAGCACCCAAAAGAACTGACCCAATGCAAAGAAAACAAAAATTAATTGAGAAACATGAAAAAGCTATCCAGAATTTCGATGATATGGATAAGATCAAAGACTTTCAAGAATTACATTCTTCATTTTCAAAAATTAAAGCCTCACAGAAATGGAATAATAAATTATCTGATGGAAAGCTATATTTTTATAAATTGGATTTTGAAAATGATATCTTAACTTTGAATACACAGATTATAGTTGATGGTCAGATGGAAGTTCAGGTTGTTCATAATGGATGTAAGCTTTCTTTTAGTGACTTGAAGTGGGTTTTGCCATATGATCTCAAAATTACCAGATGGTCCCAATTAGAAAACCTGCTAAATAGGTATTTTTTCTATTTTTCTGAGAACCAACACAAAAAAGGTTCATTCACAACAAATGTTTATTTTAATGATTTGCAAAGAGAGGACTGTCAATTCCAACCAGTTATGTAAAAATCATATTCTACCATATGTATGCCATTTTTGAAGCTATTATTAATATAGATAGATTGGAAATTTTCTTCTTGAAAAGCAATAATCAAAAATTTCTTTTGTGTCAGTTAACCTTGCTCAGCATTCAGTCTGACTTTACATACAGTGAATTTTCTTTAACTTGCATCTGTGGCCGCAATTATGCAGATATTTTATCTAAGCTTTTGTCTATTTTTTCAAACATAATTTTGAATGATTATGTAAAATTTAAAAATAACAGTAAAACTGAAAGTAAATGTATTAAAAACAAACAGGTAACTCCACATTTGTTACACATTTCCAAGCTAGGCCTGTTGGAACACTGTGTGCTGACACCAAAAAACGTAAACTAAATACTTTTAATTAGGTTAACTGCATTAGCGACTCATATACAGGGTTATCAAAATTAAGTGTCCACCATTAGTAACTTTGTTATTAGTGAAAATACAAAGTTGTTTGAATTAGCAAACTAGTAGCATTTTTAACGCTGGTAAAAATGAGAAATAAAAAAAAACAATTGAGAGTCGTTATTTTGATTTTTTTCAGTAAAATAACATTTTTTTAAATGGAAACTCCTGTATATTATATTTTTTTCTGTTAAAGCATCAAATTTTAAACAAAAAAGTTCATAATGACTTTTCCGCTAAAGTCAAAAATAAAGTCAAAATAACGATAAATATTTTTAATTATTTGCAGTATTATAATATTAAGACGGCTATGAAAACAACATGGCGTTCGCGATTTGACAGCATTAAGATAAGCGACAAATTGTTAAACTGGACATACTCGCAACTAGAAGGCTTTGGAAAACAATGATAAAATCAAATAATGTCAAACATTAGTGTAAATACTTGTTTATAAGCTTTATTGTGTCATTAATTTAAAGAAAAATGTTCTCCCATGAAGAAAAGTGTGATATGTTAGAATGCTATTTAGTGTGCAGAAAATCCTCCTTGAGAGCAAGAGAATACTACAGTGAATTATATCCCGCTCGCATTCAACCGTATGAACGATATTTTCTGAGACTTTATCGAAAATTTAGGGGCAACGAAAATGTTTTTGCTAAAACAATGGCAAAAAAGAATTCATAATAAGCGAGGCCACGGAAATTGCAGTTATTGGATATTTTGAAGCTTATCGTGAGAATTCAATAGCAGATATTCTCAAGGACTCTAATTTCAGTTATGGTACTGTTCAAAGGATTTTAAAAAAATACAAATTTATTCCGTATAAGTACCGACCAGTTCAAACGCTTTTGGCAGGGGATCCAGAGAGAAGACTTGTTTTTTGCCATTGGTATCTTAGCTTCTGTCGCCAAAATGTAAATAACTTTCGTTACCTTTTATGGACAGATGAATCAAATTTTTCAAATTCTGGAATGTTTAATAGAAAAAACCACCATTATTGGTCAAGAGAAAATTTTTTGTTAGTACATCCAAGAGGCCCACAAGTCCGTTTCAGTTTCAACGTTTGGTGCGGTATAATTGGTTCAAAAATTGTTGGCCCGTTCTTTTATGAGGGAACCCTAACTGGTGAAAGATATGTGGAATTTATGTCAGAAATTCTGACTAATTTCTTAGACGAATTGGATCTTATAAGTAGACATCATCTGCATTTTCAGCAAGATGGCGCACCTGCCCACAACTCCAGAGGTACTTATCATTTTCTAAGTACTACTTTTAATGATCAGTGGATAGGAACAAATGGCCCAATACAGTGGCCTCCCAGATCACCAGATCTAAACCCACTGATTACTTCTTGTGGGGTTACTTAAAGAACCAAATTTACAAGCGAAGGTACGATAACCTTGACGCGTTAAAGACTGCAGTTAGGGAAAAGATAACCCAGATAGATGGTAGGACCATACTTAAGACAGTTCGAGCAGTTGAAAAACGTGCCCAAAATGTATTGAAGAACAAGGTGGTGTTTTCGAGCATCTTCTTTAAAAAAAATTGTTATTGTATTTTGTAAGATTATAAGTTGATGTTGAAAATAAAGTTTGTCGATACAATTTAATTGTTTCAGATTGGAGGCCATAACTTCAACAATTTGTAACCTAGGAAAAAAGTTATTGTAAGCTTTTTTGTTTAAAATTTGATGCTTTAACAGAAAAAAATATAATATACAGGGGTTTCCATTTAAAAAAATGTTATTTTACTGAAAAAAAATCAAAATAACGACTCTCAATTGTTTTTTTTTATTTCTCATTTTTACCAGCGTTAAAAATGCTACTAGTTTGCTAATTCAAACAACTTTGTATTTTCACTAATAACAAAGTTACTAATGGTGGACACTTAATTTGGATAACCCTGTATATCACGATTATTTCGTATTTTTAAATTTTTTAGAGCTATTTCATATTCAGACGATTTGTATAGAATCGAACTGTCCTCTTTTCCAAAATTAAATTTAGTTCTTGAACTTTACACGGAGACGGAGCACACAGCCGCTGGCGGCCGACGTTCACAGGTAGCACTACCATGCCGTCCGAGCGCGGTGTTGCCTTTCTTTCATCACGGCTCGTAGTTGACGTCGGCTGTGGTAATACTTCAAAATTCCCCATATTGACAAGTGGCATATAATTCTCATGGCTCCATCAACGCCAGGTAGACTAAGCCGTACTTTGTTGTATACTACGGATTTATTTTGTACTTGCTAAAAACTATTTTACTTAGAAAAGTACCTTCGCATAAAAAATGAATACGGTCCTGAGTTTTAATACATTTACACCCGATTCATTATTGCCAACGTTACGGACTAATACCAAGATGTCACTTGCTGATCAGCTGCTCACCTCAGTAGACGTCAAAATATAATGGATACTCGTGAAATAGGGTATGTAGAAAACAGTGTTATTTGTCCTGGGCCCATAACCTGTTGGACGTGAGGTTAGGGCTAATGCACAATGGGTGACGGTGGGGCAGAGAACCGAGTAAGCTTTTCCTTCCGGCAGCTAACCCTCATGAGAAAAATCTCACACCATACCGTGAGTATCCGTCGGCATCTTGACAGCTTATCACAGCATTTATAGACATAGTCAGAATGACGCGGTATGGTACATCATGCTATGTGACTCCTCAATAAAGATACTTACCTCGGCATTGGATGCTCTTCGATACCAACGAAATCCCAGCTTCAGTTTTAAAGTACATGCTGTGGGATATCGCGGCAGGTATCGACATCCAAGCTATTAAATTCTATTGTAAGCAGTCGAGACGTCGAAAGTATCACGAGAGATTTCTCTCATCAGTGAGCATGGTCAAGAAAATTCTCTATGATGTCTTCCGCCGTCCCCCAATGTGCGCTAGGTCAAAGCTAATTGTCTAATGTATCGGAAAAAGCAGACATTTGAAAAATGTTATTTCATACCTGAGGTGCTCTAGGTATTGGCTCTTATTGTTGAAAGCCATATGGCAGGTGGCGCATCTGATACCGTTATCCGCGGCATGGATCCACTGGTGGGCGTTCAGGTATGACTTGACTGAGAACCGCTTCAGGCAAACAGGACACGCGTATGGCCTGAGGCCCGTATGGCTGCGCTTGTGCGTGTTCAAACTTGATTTTTGCGTAAAGCGTTTCTTGCAAATTTCGCATTCGAAAGGTCGCTCGCCAGTATGCGTTCGCATGTGCACCTGCAAACATGTTGTAGAGGTAAGGATACTGCGTACCGGAAAACGGTATGGAAGAGCATGAAAAACGAATTCCCCACGGTAATGTTTGTTTTTTTGTCTAAGATTTATTTAGCATGTTTGCTACAATTACATTCATTGAAAAAATAAACAATAAAATAACATCCAGATATTTAGAAAAAACAAAATTTGCATCTCTAAGAATTTTCACTGTCCTTGAAATGTACCTTCATTTTTTATTAAACATCTTTAAATTACAAGTAGAATTTATATCATTATTAAGTTCATTAAATTCAAGTAATTGTTTCTGAAATATTGATTTGCTAGTTATATTACTATTGCAAGTGAAAATCTTTTGCAAGTAAGTGAAAATCTATATTTCCTCTTGTTGTGACAAAAGATGATGTTTTATTTTAAATATAGAAATAAGAACCAAATAAAATATGAAATTTTTTATATTCAAACACTGCAATTCTTGTAACATAGATTTTATTTTGGTGTATTTACTTTTATTCAATATTATTCTCATAGCTTTATTTTGCAGGACTTGTAATTTTGAGAATACAGCTTCATTGGCAGTAAACACGATAATGAATTGAGCATTTTTAAAGCAGTGTCTATATTTTCATCTATGTACACAGGGTGTCCGCAAAGTTGGGGTTTTCCTTTTCAGAAACAACTTCCCTTGAAATAACAAAGGTAATGTGTAGTGAAACGAAGGCGACCAAGTAAAAAAAAATAAAGGAAAAAGTACTCACTCTCCAGTTGACGCAAAGGGCTAAGTACGTCTCTGCCCGAAATCATACCGCTCCAACAGAAAATGAAATCAGCTGATGCGCTACCGAGCAGACGCAGGCAAACAAGGAAGGCAAAATGTTGCGTAAAAAGTCTAGGTATTGCATCCGTCCAATCGATTTGGGAGAATAAATGGTCCAATGAGCATACCGTTCACCTTGCCAGCCCAAACATTTAACGAAAATGTTTGTTGAAAATGTGCCCGACGGACAGCGTGCGGATTTTCTACTGACCAAACATGAGTGTTGCGAAAGTTATTCACCCCATTACGCGTGAACGTAGATTCGTCTGTCACCAATATGCACTTCAAAAAGTCCGGATTATTGTCATGTTGATGCAACAACCACTCACAAAACCGCACTCTTGCTGGAAAATCGTCAGGTTGAAGGGCTTGCACTTCTCTAGCCACGTCTCTAGTGCTTGTTGAGGGATTCTTGTCTACGCGATTACCTCTACAACGCGTGACCGTAACCGTCGGTTGAAGGTTGCATACTGACCTGACACACTGACCCCGACCCAGTTCTGTCGTCGGGTTGAGCTAGTGTCCTAGTACCACTCGGGGATGTCGCGGCTACAGGACGGTATTCAGATATTTTTGATGTTGCAGAGCCCTTTATCTCGGTTCCCTTAAGACATTGGTGTATATGGTACTAAGAAAATTGCTTATGTTTTCAAGATCTATACGTCGTGTAAAGGAAAACCCCAACTTTGCGGACACCCTATATTTATGAATCATCTGCAAATATTTGAATTTTACGATAGTCTAAAACATTACAAATGCCATTAATGTATAAAATAAATGTGGACCTAGTTCACCACCTTGTGGTACACCAACAGAAATTTTTTGACCTTGATAATGTAGATCCAACTTTGGTTTTTTGACTTTTGTCAATTAAGTAGTTTTGTACAATTTTGAATACAGATTCTTTAAATCTGTAGTGATGCTATTTTGTAAGTAATTTATCCCTGTCAATAGTCACTGATAAAATTTCTGCGACAGGGGAAGCCTCTGTCAGCATCGTCACAGCTTGCAGTGCGAAAGCTTCCGGATGATATCCCAGCTTACCCTTTGATTTTTTTTCTCAATATCAGAGAACATATAAACTAACGTGCCAAATGCATTGGCACCGCCTGACTGCTTGGCCACAGTTACTGTTACAGGCTTAAGAAATGTTACCATTCTGAAAGATCTCTGATACCCAAAATGGGCTTTGACATACCACAACATTGGGACTGTCAAGCTGTGAAAATGCCAAATCGTGCTCACAATATCACTGAGGATGTTTCTAATCAGTATGCACTATTTGGAAGAAAACATTTTTTAGTGCTCTTTCCTACCAAATTAACGTTTTTATCAACAGGTTTGAACTCTGCTAGAGGAAACTCAAAACAATACTTAGTAGGTACAATTAAACATAGTGTCAGACTTGGAATTGTAAGGCCTGTACCTTGCACTATATTTATCTAATAATAATAAAGATTGATGCATGGAAGCTAGTTAGTAAAAAGAACAGTTGCCTCAAAACAGAGCTGTGTGTTTTGAGACTCATGATACTTGGATGTTATATTGAACATAAAAGACAATACTTCTAACTTCGTATACCTGGCAATTTTGTTTTGGCATTTATGATACTCACTTCTAGATATGGTTTTCTGCAAAAGGATGCCTCACAATGATTGCACTGATAAGGTTTATTATTAGAATGCTGCTTTAAGTGTACATAATAACTTGAGGCTGACGATAATATTTTACCGCATATATTACATTTTTGTTGCTTAGCTGTCTTTGGTTCAGTTCGGGGCTCCTCTGCTACAGGCTTTTCCTGAAAGTTACAGGACATGAAGGGTTGCAAATTTCAAGGTTAATACAACTTCTACCTTTAAAGGAACATTGTAGGTTTCATTGGGTATGTGATTGGGAGTATAGGGATAAGGATCTTCTTGTAGGTCTGTCCTCATGTCCTCCCTCTTTATTTCTGGTACGTTATTAGGGTCGTCTGACGCAAAAATGCTGTGGCAAAACATTGCCGAGTACATATTCATTGAAGCGGTTTGAGTATAATTGTATTCTAGGTTTACTTTTTAAGTATATATAGTAATTATTTATATATCATTATTTTATTTACTTCTTAAAATTAGGTTAGGGTAACTTTGACATTTTTGTTGACCTAGGTGGGGTTGGTACGCTTGGAACCAGCAGGGTTGCCGTATCTACCTTTTACGGGTGGCATGCGAGAAATTCTAGCAATTGACAAAAACAAAGATCGTCACTGTCTATACTTTGTGCGAAACTTCGGCACGGTCTTTTGAACCCTCATACTAAACTGCTGCCTTTGCGTCTGTTTTTCCTCAAATGTCCTTTTTACACACCTTTATATACCCTAGGTTCATCATTTACTTAAACCATGCGATTAGAACTAAATGTATCAAGCTTTAGGTTGAGCAATGAAAGTCTAATGATATCCTCATTTTATATTTAACCAATTCCAATAAAAATTATTGGCAAACTGCAAAGTTTGTCTTATTGATCTTTTCATTTAAAAAAACTTAGTCTAAACAATATCAAAACAAGTCTTTAAAAAATGCTAAGTTTATTTAGTTCAAAAGTAAAGTCAACAAGTATCTAGAATCACCAAATTCCTAATTATATCATTAATAATATTAAATATTAATGGAAACAAAACTCATTCATACAAATATACAAAGTCTGTTGATAATAGTGATCTAGAATAAGGTGGTTCTAAAAAAGACGGTCATTATAAAAGATCCAAAGGAAATTTACATACAGCGAGATAAAATTAAATTAGATTTTATTGAACAAATTGTAGCTTTTGCATCAAATTTCAGCCAACAATAATGACAGAGAAGATGTAAAATATTATTTTATATGTACCACAACATCTTTCTGCATGGTGTGGCATCACGCGTAGGTAAGCTGTTGATAACTGACAAGGTGGTCCAATACAAGTATATAGTCGTACAATATGAAAGTGGGAACCCAATGGACACTGACAAATAGATTTATTATTTTTATTATTATTCTTCAACTTTATGGTCCCCACCATTATACCCGGCCATTATTTGTCCAATGCAGTATTTGTCTTTACTGCAATCACCACCTAGAACACAGGAAAACAATTGTTAGTCATAAATTCAAGATATTATTAAAAAAAAAATCAATAGATGCACAGTAAACTGCTCCAAATTTATTGAAATCTGGTTTAATCTACCTATCAAAATTATGGACTGAAAACCATCTGTTGGACATGGCTGAGAACCCTTAAGGTGCACGTTCACTGATGGGAAGGAGGGATTTGTGTAGGGCGAAATGTCAATTGACAATGAAGTAAGAAAAAGATGACATGTGACAGGCATTGCCAAGATACAATGGCCACATTTACACCAAAGGACTGTGATACTCTGTGCATTAACATTACTACAGAGTAGAGGTCGTATCGTCAGTCGTTCCTACAATTGTAGGACGCCTTTATGTCCGCCTTGATCTTCATAGTTTTCTACTGTTCCACATCAGTGCTCTATTTTGAGGTATGTTACAAATATCTATTTGCATCAAATTGTTCATGCTTTTGATTTATATCATCTGTTATATCTGCCTGAAATTTCCTGCAATTCAAAAAGGAAACATAGCCTCACAACAAGAGAGCACTGACACAGAACAGTAGAAATCTAGAACTACCCCAGACTTTCTGAAGGAGGGAAAATACTATGAAAATCAAGGTCATAGAGGCGCCCTACAATTAAGAAGACTGATGATACAGCCCTAAGAAATGAGGCAAGACTAGTTAATTTACCCTGTGGACTGTGTGCTAAACAAGGTCTTAGACTAGCAGTAGTGTTTACAAAATAAGCAGGGTCATTGCTGTTGCATTTAAGGTTTAGATTAGGAGGCACTCTAAGTGAGCTGCACTTAGCAACCCACACTGTAAACAGCAACCCACACTGTAAACATGACCATTATCGCGCGCCTAGGTCTTTTCCCTTTTCTTCAATGAAGGTGCAACTATAAAATTCAATGCTCCACTATGTCAAATGTAAGAACATGATTAAAAGCTTTTCATTTTGTATCCCTGGCATTTACAAGCAGTAACTTAAGCCATAAGACCATACTTGAATATGCTAAAGGTATATGAAGTCCCAATTATGCAAAAGACATAGAGAAACTTGAAACAGTTTAGAGGAAAGTAAATAAATCAGCAGTTGAAGTAAGACATTTACAGGTTTAGTGATTTACAATTGGAATCATCTAGATAGAGAAATGGGCCAATGGCAAATACATTCCTTCATTAGACAATGTAATATTTAATCATAACTGTTGTTGTATAATAAGGATAGTTACATTGGACATTGCTCACTATTTAATATTGTTTGTTTTAGATTTAATTAGCATTGACAATTGACAATATCCATATATTCACTACTATGAGTTCTGTTTTTCCATGAAATATTTTTTCAATTTCCCGTTGAACATTTCAAACTGGCATACATCTTAATATCATTACTTAATTTATTAAATTTGTACAATGCCTTATGAAATACTGACTTGCTCATTATATTGCTACTGCAATTTTGTATAACTCTATACTCCCTCTAGTAGAATAACTGTGATACTTATTGCTCAATACAATAAGATAGTCTAAGTGATTTGGTAGATGATTTTTTAACTTCAATATGAAAATGAAAACCAAGTAGGTTATGAAATTTTTGATATTTAACCTTTCAGCATAAAATGTATCTAGTATATTTATTTTTATTCAAGATGATTCTCATAGCTTTATTTTGTCATCTTAAAATTAATAAAATAACCATAAATATCATAAAGAAATAACACCATCACTTATTGTTATTGACACTCATGTTGTCAAAGGTGTGCAATGTTCAATGTATCACTGAATGCTTAGGCAGATAGTTATTTTACAATTGAAAAAAGTATTTTAACATTTCTGGCAACTAAAGGATGTCTCAATAAATACTTGAGGATTTAGTTTCTAAATCAAACAAACCATTTTGAAAAAACGACCTGCTATGGCGTTTTATAAATAATATTCACCAAATAACCCCTCAACTGTTTCTACAGAAACCATTTCTCATTTTGGCACAACTGCAACTCTATTTTCCATAACATAAAATACCAGGTCATCCGTGACATGCGAGTTGTTTGAAAAGCCTTTACACCTGAAGCCTAATTAATTTTTAATTTGCTGGATATCAAAAGCTTTTTTGTGTTCTACAGAGTACTGGTTCAAAACAATTCTGAACCTACCAGTAGCCAGTCACAAAGCGGTATTGACATCACAAGAACCTACTGACCACAATCAAACCCCATCCTAGGTAAAACTCAGACAAGGCTGGAAATGACAAGTACACACGATAAAATTTCTAGGTCAGGTCATTGAAAAATAGTGCTAAATTCAAATCTCAATACATCTATTGAGGGGACACCCATTACATTTTGTTTTGCATCTCTCCTTACCTCTTCACCACAAGATTTCAGTACAGTGCATAAGATATCTTTGCCAGCGTCATAGTCAGCTCTGAGTTGGGTACCCAACTCGCCTTCAGGGACTTTGAGGTCCTCACGTAAATCACCATTGTCTGACATTAGAGATAAGTAGCCATCATCTGAAATGTCAGTCAGCTGATAGTCCTCACGTTTTACATGTGGTACATCCATGTTGTGTGTGGATGGGCATATATCTTCATATTTTTTGCCTAAAAAAGAGATGATTTTTGAATTTCAAATAGCTTCATTTAGTTGGAAATAATATAATTTAATAATAATTTTAAATGACATTTAGTATAAGATTGTCAAAACTATCAAGATGAAATAACACAAGTTAAATTTAAAAGAAATGCAATGGTCCTACTTTTGCAGAGTGAATAATTAATAAAACACACTTTATTGTATGAAAAGAGGTTGCTTCAAAGTGTGTAAACAGTTTGAGTATTATCTGACATGTGAAATAATGGATCATTGCATTGTCAATTTTTAGCAGATAATCTTCAAAATCTCCTTAGATGCAGATTAGCTGTCAGATGCATAAGAAAATAATGATTTCCTTTCAGAGGTCACAATAGTGATTCATATTATAGTGTTCAGCTCAGAAAGAAAGTGAGCCTGCCATAAAAAAAAATAATAATATAAATCATGCTACATTTACATTTAAAATCTGACATTATAAAAATAAACACACGCCAATCATTGAACGTTATCTGTGATAAAGTCAATGACATGCCCTCAACCTAAGATGTAGTCAAATTCGTACCCAGCAAATACTTTTACTTCTATGGATAGCTATAATATAGAATAATAGAACATTTGTTACTTATTCTATGGTTGTCCCTATGAGGGATCTATCTATACAATTATCAGACACAAAGAAAGTTGTCAAAATTGTTAATTATTAATGAACAACCATAATCACAGTTATAATTACAAATATTAAATCATTTTTATAAATTTATATAATCAGAATTTTAATCAGAACCATAGTAACCTTGAGGTTATTAACCTTTAACCCTTAAAATTTCAACATAGATGCGAAATTCAGGACTATAGATTGCTGTGAGTGCTCCTTATATCAGGTTTCCTATACACACACAAAAAAGCTTTTATTGTTAAATTTAAACTGCAACTAAGAGATGCTTTCTTTAATCAGTTAACTGTAACAAAATTTGTTTTGCTGGGGTATTATACAACTAAAACTAAGAGGATAAATGTACAAAGTGCTTTACTCAAAAAAAAGCTGAAGAAATTCACATTTCTATGATTATGATTATTAAACCATTATTAACTAAATAAAAGTACCACTCTGTTTATAGTAGTGTGATTTTATGATCATAGTTATTGAAATGTTGAAATACTCTGGTATTGATTATGATTGTTCACATATTCTTGAATTGAATGAAATTAATAAACTTAGCAATGACAGGCTCTTCTGAATACAGCAAATGAAGAGGTCAATGACAATCTGCAATGCAGAGAATTGGGTTTTAAATTAAAATAAGCATTATTTCTGGTTATTAATTAGTAACTGAAGATCTGCATAGTCAGCCTTAAGTAGTGAATAAGTTTTGAGACACAAAAGCTTAGACTAACCTGAAAATATATCGATGCCCACCAAGTGAACCTTAGCATGTCCATGTTTTCCAGTTTTGGATGTGGACATCTCAACAATCTTGCATGGTCTACCTTTTAACATAACGAAACCGTTCTTACGAAGGGCCGAACATTGCATGGGGTAAGTTGCGGAGGCCCCAGAGTCTCCAGTTTCGAAGTGTGAGTCATCAATGTCGCCCATTGTGGTAGGTTCCTTATTAAAAGTTACCTTGCAAGCTGGAACAGAAAGGGGCACTATCAGTGGGGCGTAACGGGGGCTTTTCTAGTGTACACGCGGCAGCGGAACATGTGGTTCAGACACACGCCGTTTGTCAACCTATTACGAAAGAAATGAGGGCATTTTTCATAGTGTTTTGAATGAACTTGTAGTGAAGTGGTTTGCGGAGTTCTGGAGCTCCCGGAAATTCTATAATTTCAGAGATTTTCCGGAATTTCTGGATAATCTAATGCAACATGGCGCGAACACATATATCCAATCATGCACTGTCAAAATAATTGTACCGTAAAAAGTACACAGGAGTCACGCACTGTAGACTATAAATCCTGGATGGTTTTCTTCGGCGAATTTCCACTACACAACACTAACGTTTTGATTGTATTTATTGATTATTCTACAGAAAAATAAAATACTCACATGTGATCAAGATGGAAACTAATCCGAAAGAGATGCTAAGGGCATGCGCGCACCAAAATAAACGGTTCGGATTGTATTCAAAGGATATCTACAGCGCTGCCATCTGTAGCGGGAAACTTAAAAGAACTGTCAATTCTCCTTACTTTATGAAACTAACATAAGAAACACCACTATTTCCTGCTTATTAAAACATTTTTATGACAAACTGCTTTTTCTAGAGACGATTTTTCCGTCAGATTATTTCTTTATGGCGAAAAACAGGCCCAGCTCGGAAAACGGCAGTTGAATTTCGCGGGTTGTACCAAAGAAAAAGTCAGACTGACAGTTGAGCGTTTGTCATATGTTGAGTCGTGTCTCCAAAATGGGAGAAATCGGTGTACGAGGGTAGACCGATAAGCTCAGTTCATAACAAAGGGTCAAGGAACGTGAATAAAAAATAATATTGGGTCGATGAGAATTTCCACATCCTTTCCATCCTCCCTTTTAGGCTTTCAAGTTTCATCGACTGTTAAAAATCAATGGTATCGTCGGTCGTTCGATCCACGTGTATAAATTATTTATTTTTCAGCGGATTTGTTTCTCTTGTTACATTCTCCATCACACATCACATAAATATAGCTGTTAGACATTACAACATTTTTATGATTCCTAAAGCATATTCACTAATCTCGGCATTTTTTTTCATATTGATAACTACAATGTATTACCGATTTCATGTTTTATGCGTTGTAGCATCTTTAAAGATGTAAAGGCAGATTTCGCATCGCCGCACATAGGAGGTGCGAAGGTGGGTGGTGATGTGGTGATCCCGTATGTTTTTACCATCGAGTTTTTACCAAAAATCATTTTTCTAGAAGATAAAAGTGTGATAAAAGTTTGCATATTTCAGTGATACAAGATATAGTTAAAACAAATCTGGAGGGCTCAAACATGCCGGTACCAAGTGGGGCAGGAGAACCTACAGTTGAGGACTTGCCAGGTAAGTGATTTTTTAACCTATAAAATTTAAATTAAGAAATAAAGTAAACATCGAAGTGGAATATTTGGATATTTGTCTTGAAGTATCATAACATTCTCATTGAGAATTTCAGTTTTCATTCGAAAATCGGTTGAAGTTTGTTTTAAAACGGCCCACAAACTTCTAGTTATGTTTCTCTAGAAATAACTGTGAGATGTTTACATCAATTGAACTGTTGTGCTTATATTAAATTAATTTCCAGTTGAGTATTTCCTTTTTAGAGCCAAAACTTCACACATCGCCTTTTGTACTCCTTCACTTGAGTGTTAAGGGGGTAGCTGAGCTGTGACAACATCTTGAAATAAATAACCATAATTGTTTTCATTCATTTGAGAATCCAAACAGGCAGTTCCCACTTTAACATTGCTTTGTTACTGCCTTAATGGCACCATTGGCTGGAAGAGCTTAATGCTCTCTTACTATGTACTTCATAACAGTTACAAAAAATGTTATATGTAAAATGTTACTTCATTCTATTATCCAGTTTCAGCAGCAAGTTCTGTAGATGCAGAAGACTGTGAAGAGGAGCAATCTGATGCAAATGGAGATCAGAATGCAGAAGCTGAAAGTGGTGAGAGTTCGAATGAGATTGTCATAATAGACCCAGATTGTACAGAGCTAGACTTGAACCATGGTCGTATCAGAAAAATACAAAATCTGGAACCATTAACTTGTATTGAGCGATTGTATTTGAGATGGAATTTGATCACAAAGATTGAAAACTTGGATACTCTAGTGACATTGAAAGAGTTGGAGTTGTATGATAACCAGCTGACTAAGATAGAGAATTTGGATGCACTTGTCAATCTTGAGTAAATATTTTTTATTACTATTTGTTGACATTAGCTAATATGGATACATTTTCAGGATTCTTGACCTATCATTCAACCGAATAAGGCATATTGAGGGTTTGGAGAATCTGAAAAAATTAAAAAGAATATTCTTATCCTCAAACAAATTTACTAAAATAGAGAATTTGAACCATCTTGAGAATTTGGAGCTTCTAGAACTTGGAGATAATAAATTGAGGGTAAGAAAGATCAACAGCTATCAATATGAAACTGAGAATCTTTGTTATGACATTACTAAACAGGCAATATTTTTCTAGCCAACCTTAATTTTTGGCATTTTTTACCTATTTTCATGTTGTGCTAACATGTTGCCAAATTATTGGAATCCTATTGGTGTAAGTAATGTAAGCTGCCAAGTTGCCTAAAATTTGACTATGTATGTGTCTACATATTGCAGATAATATTGCTAAGATATAGGCAAGACATAGCTGATAAACTGAGATACAGTAGCGGACAAAAGTTTGGAAACAAATATTAATATTATATGAACTATTTCATATACCTAAATTAAATTGTGAAGGAACAACAGATAATATAAATATTAAAGTCTATCTTTGGCTGCTGTACTAATACCAGGTTTATCTTATCAATATTCAAATTCTCTGAAAAAAAACACGTTTTTTTAAATACCACAGTTTTTTGTAAGGACAAAAGTATGGAAACAGTTTTGGTGTATTTGTTCGTTCTGCCATACTCTGATATTGCGTGCGGTAAATATTAACATCAGTGAGACTGGCAAAGATTTAAGAGACAAAGTAACTGAATTATTCAGAAGTGGTGTCAGAAATGTTGACATTTTTCAAAGATTAAAATTATACAAAGGGACGAGTTCGAAAATTAAGTAAATATCAAGAATATGGATCAACAGCAACGCGGCTCATGTGCAGAAGACCGAAAAAAACGATTATGTTTTGGATCGTACATTAAACGTTTGTCCCATGAAGATCCTCAAATGCCAGCCACACAGATTTTCAAAGAATCGTAGAAGAGGGTGCCGAGAATCTTTCTGTCAGAACAGTGCAAAGACGCTTGGTGGATCTTGGGCTTATTGGTGCAAAAGTCTCTCATTTAAAAAAAATCGTATTGCTGGTCTTTAATTCGCTAAAACTCGTCTAACTTGGACATAACAACAATGGAATACAGTTTTATGGAGCGATGACAGCAAATTAAACTTGTTTGGATCTGACGGTACGGCACATGTGAGACGTCCAATGCGAAAAAGATTCTACAAAAAGTATCAGTTACCAACAGTTAAGTACGGTGGAGGCAATATCATGGTTTGAGGCTGTTTTTCTAGTTCTGGGACGGGTCTAATTGTTAAAATGATTAGGAAAATGTATCAAAAACTTTACAAAGATATTCTTAGTGAACACATGCTCCCTTTTGATGAAGAAGAAATGCCTTTATAATGGACATTCCAGCAAGATAATGACGCACAAGTATACTTCAAAATTCATAAAGGACTGGTAAAGACTAAAAAATTTCATGTTTTTACATGGCCTTCGCAATCCGCGGACCCAAACCCTATAGAAAATCTCAGAGAGCATGTTAAAAGACAACTGACAAGAAAAACTTTTAAAAATAGGAACGATTTATTTGGCAAAATATCCCAACAGACGTTTGTAAAAAATTGGTGTCTTCTATGAGCAGCAGATGTCAGGCAGTGTTGAATGCTAAAGGCTATGTTACTAAATATTAGCTAAACAGTATTTATTAAATCTTTTTGAAGAGTTATTGTATTTAAATTTGTAATGAAAAATATGTTTCCATACTTTTGTCATTTCATTTTTGGTTATAAAATAATATGAAGGTATGTATTTTAATGCTAGTCCGTAGTACAACAGCAAACACAAACTGTCATTTGTATCTTCAAGACTGTAAGCAAACTATATGAGAAAAAAAATATTCCTTAATAATAAAGAATAAAAAACTAGCGCACTTTTTAAAAATTACTAAGAATGTTTCCAAATTTTTGTCCGCTACTGTATATGGCTAGGCAACAAATATTGCTTATTTAGATGCTCCATTACAGATATATAAAGTTTTCTAATTATTTAAATATATTGCAGCAAATTGAAAACCTAGATGGCCTGAAAAATCTGCAGTACCTGTATCTAGGCAAAAATAAAATAACTGAAATCAGTAATGTGGACACCTTAACTAGCTTAACTTGCCTAAGCTTACAAAGTAATAGGCTTACCAAAATCGAGAATTTGAACAATCTGAAAGAACTGACTGAGCTGTATTTGTCGGAAAATGGTATTGAAAAAATTGAGAATTTAGATGGAAATACGAAACTGGAGACACTGGACTTGGCTCAGAATAAAATTAAAGCAATAGAGAACATCTCACATTTGGAGAAACTACAAGAGTTTTGGGTAAGAAGTAATTTTGAAATATTACCATATAAAATGCAAAGTTACTGTATTAAGTGGATAAAAGTTAACTTTAAGCTATCACAAAACTACATGAGGATGGGGTATAATATGGTTCAAATATTAGAAAGTTTTTAAGTTCACAGTGGAATATCGAGTCCCATTTGGCGGGTGAGGCAGAATGTGTGCATGTCACTTTCCTCTGTATGCCCCTATAGGCCCATGGGATCCATGGGTGTTTAGGCCAACGACGATGAAAAGACCTAGACATTTACATTCATTCATAAAACGTCTATCTGAACGTTGACAAGATAAACAACAGAAAACTATATACAGCTGGAGGAAAATGGCGGACAGTCGTCAACTGCCATGGGCGTATCATAATCGGGGTAATAGAGCTATAGCTAGAAATCGATTTTTGTGGAGTTTTTGGGCACTTCAATGAATGTAAAAGTATTATGCATAATGGAATGGAATAATTTGTCACTCAAATACATTGTTTATGCTAATTATGAATATGCAAGCCGAAATATAGCGTCGAAGTACAATTAAATATAAGTGTACATAAACACAACAAGAAACGGTCAAAACTAGGACTATGAATCAAACCGGACGTCACATGCACTCAGACCAATCATGATAGTGTCGCCAGCGACAGACGAGGCTCTGAAAACTGATGAGCTTTATACATTTATTAACCCGACTGCCTCAGGAGGAATATGTTTCACATGTTTTTTGGTTTGTATGTATATATCCAAAAATTCTGTTTCACGGGCTCAAATGCTTGTTGGATTTTGGTATTCGGATTCGTCCTAGCAGTATGAGTGATACTGGGTATATTAAAATTTCATTGAAACAAAATGGCGAATATTAATAAAATAATCAACCTTGAAATTCATATTTCCAAGGCTGCAGCTTGAACGGTTTGATGGATTTTGACAGAGGTGCCTCTAGATTAGAGACGGTATACTTGACCAATGTGTTTCCAATATTTACTTAAAAATTAGAGTTGGATTGAACAGTTTTGATCGCCATCCATTTTAATAAGATATTTTTTTAAAACAAATCAAACTGTGAAATGGGAACACTTTTTATTTTGACATTTTTACAAAATCATAAATTACAAGAGTTGCTTCAAGCAGCTACTTCACACTCGCCAATTTAACAATGGGTACAAAATCATCATAGGCCATTCCTTGTATAATAGTAAAGAACAGTATAAGAACAAACACTCTAAATCTTATTAGTACTACTTTGCCAGTATTATAAAGCGAATGTCAGACGTTCATTTCATACTCTGATCCGTTAGTATTTTCCAAGGAATGTGGTCGTATTCATTGAACGTCTAGCCTAGCGTATTGATGCCATGTTTTATTGTTGCATAAGGTTATGTGGAAATTCAATCATTCCATCGATCCGGAAGGAAATCTATCAGTAAATACTGACGTACGGATCACAGTATGGAATGAACGTCTGACATTCATCTACGAGGTCTCAGTTATAGCATAATTAAAGGAAAATATGCGAGTTATATATATATATATATATAAAGGTAACTTTATATAAAATCTAATTACATATAATATAATCAAAAATACATACATCAACACATTAAGCATAATTGTAAATAATTCATTCAATCTTGGGGTGTTACCTAAAGTGTTGTAGTAATCGTGTTGAGAAATTTGTATAGCAAATTAATTTTATAAGATAGCTTATGTATCCATTTATAACATGAAATACGAAAAAAAAACAATACATGCAGTCGGGATATTTCCATTTTACTGTGTATTGGTAGAAATTGCGGAATCTTGAATTATTTCAATTACATGCGAAACAGCTGAAATGTAGTCGACCTATACATACACGATCTGTGTCGCCAGAAAATTAAAAATCTACTAATTAGCTATGCATTTTGGGAAAAACAAAGCTTAAACTTCTGCCACCTACAGGTCTACAAAAATGTACATAATTTAAAAATACTTCTCAACCTTAGAATCATATCATAGAATCCAAAAAATTACGAGAGATACAACAAAGAAAAAAATCTTACTGATGGCTGAATAATACTGCCTTCGTATATACACTTCTAATTCTGTTTTTTTTAAACTGTCCGATTTTTTCACAGTTTCGTGATGAATTCTGAGTGAGAAATACTTTTTCAAAATCAGTTTTATCAGAAATATGCAGTGCCCATCAATAGGGTCATCTTCAAGAAGGTGGTGTTCAAAATACCCCAAAATATGTGGTGATATTGATTGTATGGTATTATTGACTAGAATATCCGAGAGATGTTTGATATTTTTGTTAAAGATATTAGTTGTCTTTTGGAAGAAACGAAAGTATTTTTCACCATGACGGCAAATTTGAATAACTGGTCCTGAGGCTTTTGTCAATTCTCCATAAACTTTTCTTTTTTGCAATGGCATGTCAATATCGCCCTCTAAAGAATTCTTACAATTTATACAAGTAACACATTTTTTTAAACAATTCACCACAAACCCTGCAATGTATGAAACAACATCTTCTGTATAAATTGTAAGATTCCATGCAAAAGGTGTGCACTGGTAAAGGGCAAGATCGTTTTTTATTTTTTCTTCAAACTGAAGTAATTCTGGGCTATTTAAAAGATCTTCACCATCGTCCGCCCTGGTTATATGATATCCACTGCCACAAGATAAGATAGTCAAACGCTCTGGGTTATCAACATTTCCTGTGTCTGGGCCAGATATCTCTGTATGCACCAGCAATCGTTTGTATGCAGCTTCAAACTGCCTTGCACTGGGATTATTGTTGTACCCTCCCTTACTACGAATAGCTCCAAAAAAAAGCTCTAAATGATCCTGTGATAATTTATTTGTCAAAATATATTTTAAAACTTTCTTTTCTGCAATACACAAGTTATAAAACTGTTTCAAGCTCTGAATGCAAATCAAAAATCCTAAAAAACCAGTTTTTTTTGGAGAATGTATTATTGGGAGAGTACCTAGTCGCAATCCATGGATATATTGAACTGCCTCGTCCATGAATTTGAAAAATGTATCTGCAGTAGCTGGAGAAAGTGGGCGCTTAAATAGGTACTTTGAAAACCTGTTTCTAGAGTTGAAAATATCAAAAATATCGTTAAATGTTTGAACAAATTTTACGGTACCTTCCACATTAGCAAACGTCGCTAGTTTTAAATCTTTGGATAAATAGGTCAAAGCATCAGCAACACTTCTACTTAAAGTTTGTGTAGCTATTTTGACCCTCATTTTTTCTCTCGTCCACTGTAGATGACGATTTCTTATTTTTGTGCCTAAATGTAAACCTTCGATATTTTGCACATCAACTAACTTCACCAAATAATCCCAACTTATCTGATTGTTTTCAGAATCACCTAAGTATTTGATGGAACCAAAAGCGTTTCTGACTAATTTTATCATGTGGCTTGGGTCTAGGAATATGTATACATTTTGACCCGTTATAGGATGGAGAAAATAAGTCTTCAAGTTTGTTACATCGTTCAGATTTGTCCCTAGACAAGAAGCCATTGTGAAATTTACTGGAGCACCATCGAATGTTAATGATGCTACAGTAACTCCAGAAGTGTGGATGAAGGTTAGGCATTTTTTCACGAGTTCTGCCTTTTCATAACCAGTCAAGCCATCCAACAGAAAGTAACCCACCGGAATTTTCCATGCTCCATTCAAGCATACTAACATAAAAACCAACACCTCCTTTGCTTCTGGTAGAACGTCTGATTCTATGTTAGCCCCAATATCAACATACCCCGTGAACTTACTCCCTGTCCATTCAACTTGTTTCCGAATAGACATCTCATCTAGGACTAAATTACACATAACAGTAGAGTTTTTGGTTGAAGCTTCTCCTTGTTTTAATTTCATGGCCACAATGGATTCCTCAGTGAAGCCTGGTGAACCATCAATCGACTTATACCATTTGCTTATTGTTGACAGATGGGGTAGAGCAAGGTTAAATGTCTTCCTCACAAAATTGTATGCTCTTGGGGAATAAAAGCTCAGCGTGAGGGCAAATGACCGCAAGGCAGGGTTATATTTCTGGCTAGTACGCCCCCTCAACATTCTTTCAAAGATTTCCAAAGGCATACCAGAAAGAGATGCCTAAAAGAGATATTAAGTATTTAGAATGCAATTAAATCATGTAATCTGAACAGAATGAGTATTTTAAAACTAGTATTAATTACATTTATGCAAGATAAATAACATCAGGAAACTAAGATATTAACACTGAACATACCCATACTCAATTCTATTTCTACCATAACCAGTCTCATGACCTGCTGTGGTTAGATGACGATATGTATACTTGTTGTAACAAGTATTAGTCAAAATAAACAAAATACGATTAAAAAATGAATATCAAATGCTATAATTAAAAGAAAAAAATCATGGAGCTATATGTGCAAAAGTGATAAGATGATAATGCTTATTTTCAATGAGCAAGATTACAACTGGTCTTCTGACCAGTTATGGTATGTTGAGTGTTGTGTGTGTGTGTTGTAATGAAAATTATTATATTGAAAAAAAAAGTTGATCAATAGCTCCATTCAAATGAATTCGGGTATCTGGGACACACAGTCTTCATCAATCTGCTTACCTTCAATACAGTTTCAGCTGAATCTGTTATGTGATTCTTCTGCTTCAAAAGTTTCAATAAGCCACTTAGAGTTTTTATTCTTCTCCTCAAAGCAGCAACACTTGTTTGGAGACTTTTTACTTTTTTCCTCAATGTCATTAGGGAACTTTTCATCAACCGATAATTTGACTTTGATTTTCTGGGAGTGGAAAAGTCATCACTTGATAAATCTCCAACATAACGTTTTAGCCTGAAAAGGATAAATGTGTCAACTATATACTTTATTCATTAAATAATATTATATATCATTTCATCTTGATACAAAATAGCTAGTAAGAAACAAGTTCTTGTCTCCCTCAAATACCTTCTTTTACGTGGTGTTCTGACATTTCGTTTGGTGACATTGCCTCTAATTGCCAATTGATACTCCTGTTCAGAAGCAGTTGCAGTACTGGATGATGTGAATGACTGCAAAATTTCTGGAGGCTCTACCATCTTAGAAGTTTCATCAGGAAAAGGAATATGACTTGAGCTAAAATATTTTCTACATGAGTAAATGAAATGGTTTAGATTAAGAGAATACTCACACCACATGGGAAGGCCCTGGTATAGCTAACTCTTCCATTCTCAATCTAAAATAAAAGGTA